TTATGCGATTAATTAATATACTGAGGAGATCCTTTGGATTGTGCTATTTTTCTACCGGGTTTGGGTTGTGTTGTTTGATGATGTTATATGCAAATTTTTCATGTATATCTTGGTGCTGAAACGTGTTGATCTTGCTGTTAGGTGTTGAGTTTCTGACTAAATGCCTTGTGTTTCATGCTTAGGAGTTAATTTATATTGAAGAGAGTTGAAGCTTGTTGTGTGATCTATATTGTGTTGACTTTGCTCAAATTGATGTGCTTTGTTGAGATGTTTATCTTGCTGGGAGTGAGCACTTTTTCAGAGCATCTGAATCAGTGTATAAGGTATAGATATTCATGGATGAGCTTAAGAGAAATAAGAAAATGAATGGGCTTTATTGTGTTTGATCTTGTGCATCACGCAATTGGGGTTTCGCTTATGCGAATCATCTTTATTTTTATTGTTTTCAATGTTTGCCTATTCACTGCTGATTAGATTTATTGTTTTTTTTTTTTTTTCCTTTTTGCAGGTTCTGCTTTCACTACTCAAGACTGCGCAAGGTCGCCATATGGTAAGCTCTCCTTTATATGACTACCCAAGTAACTGAAGCCACATATTGTATGCCTTTTACAAGTTTTGCCCTACATAAATCTTTGTCAGTATTGAATTTTAAATAATGTATCATTACATCTTTAGTGCTGAAGAATTCCAAATAGTAACACATGTATGCAATTATAGCTTATGACCAACCTTTCCATTCATGAATTGTTTATTGGGACCTAGAATTGTTTCTTACTTTCCTTTGCTAAAGTAATTCATGTTCTAACAGGGCATACAAGCATATTGTTTCTTGTTCTCTATAGAGATATTGAAGTGAGCATAATCATGGGCAAAGATTAATATTAGCTGCAGTTGTATGAGAGGTTGTTGTCATGCTTCCAATCTGGCAGCATTGTCTTTTAATATTCTGGTTTTAGACATTGAAGCCTCTCCTAGAATTGCAATTTATTTCTTTCCTTGAAGCCTCTGGTGGAGCTAAGCATTAACTATGATTAGTAAATGTGTTAATGAGTACCTATATTTTATGTCCAGGATTCCTGTGTGTGTACTACACTCCATGTCATATATTCCGCACTAAAGATTTATATGCCTTTGGTGTCATTTGTAGTCAAGCCATCTAATCTGTTCTCTTTGGAAGTTATATGCAAATAGATCTGTGTGTTTTCATTTGTTGGTCATCGTACGGAGCAATTTTTGTGGGCCTGTTTGCTGCTGCTGGAGAGATTTTTTGAAAGGGAAATCTGGGTACGGCGTTTACTTTTGAACTTTTTGCCCATTCTTATCACCTTTTAGGATTTCAGTTTTCATTTTTTTTTTATCTTTTTGTCTGTGTTTTTTGCTCTAAGACGAGAAATGAATCATTGTTACAGGAAAGAAGACTTTGGGTACTTGGGTAGCCTGAGTTGCTCCGGACAATTTGTGCACGAGGACTTGAGGTATAAATCATTGAATCAACTTGAATTGTAATGGTTTGTAAGATTTATGTCCCTGTTGTGAAAATTTATCTATCCTAAAATGTTTGCTCGAGTCCTCATGATGATATTGTGCCATTATCTATCCTTACTTGGCCTTAATTGTGGCCCATTTCAGGTGTATTACTTTGTCAGGACACATTCATACGAGTCAAAGGTCATGGAAATTAACCATATGTAGTTTTTGTTATTAATGGTCGGCTAGATGATCTGAGCATTATGTTTATAGTTTCACTAGGATCATAGTTTTAAATGGCGAGGCGAGGCGAGGCGATTGGCCAATGGCGTCGCTACGAGGCGAGGCGATTCGCCATG